GTTTATGTCATTGGAGGCTTTGCATAATGCATTTTTCAGCAATATCGGACTACTTTGTGGAGTCATTAATGTACTTTTGATTCTTTAAGTGCATGATGTGTACATTTGTTTTTTAATTTTGTAGACACTAAATTGATTTCTGTTCTTATTCTTCTCTAAACTATATCTAACTGTGTAGATATAATTAAATGTAACTTTTGATCTGGAAATCCCCAGTACAAGGAAAAATGACTTGAGTGTCCCTTTTCACCGGTTTTTGAGACCACAAGATCTATTTTAGTTGAAAGAAATATAGTTTGCTTTTACAGACAAAAAAAGAGTTTGCTCTTCTAAATGTTTATTATACTGTTTAGTATTTCTATAGTTATGTATATCTTGTCTAGCATATAAATAATTAATTTATCCCTTAAAAAATAAAAATAAAATAAAACTCACTGGGCTCAATTTTATGCCTTTGGGAAATTTTTACTTAAATAATTTCACTAAGTGAAAATACTAGTATTTTGCACATTTGATCTAATTTTGTACTCACCATGTTCTCATTATATGCCTACATATTCCATTCATTCCTACAAAATTCATATGTACAACTTAAAATGTAAACTTTTTCTTTCTCCCATAATTCTAGATGATTTTAGGCATCCAATGATATGAGGTACCTTGAATCTGCATATAGTATATGCATCCTGCACGTGAAGTTACATAGCCCAGAATTGCTTCTTATACCTCCAAAGAGAAGATGATGTTTAAATAGCCCAACCAGCCCTAGCCTGATAGTTCAGTTTGTTGAAGCATTGTCCCATATGCCAAAAGGTTGTGGGTTCAATCCCCAATCAAGGCACATACTTAGGTTGCAAGTTCGATCCCCATTCGGGGTGTGTATGGGAGGCAACTGATCGATGTGTCTCTCTCACATCGATGTCTCTGTCTCTGTCTCTCACTCTCTCTCTCTCTCTCTCCCTCCCCCCTTCCTTTCTTTCTAAAATCAATGGACATATCCTCAGGTGAGATTAAAAGTAATAACAATAATGAAAAATAAATGGCTCATCTACTTTCTTCTGTTACATGCTTCTTTTCTTTGTGACATCCATAGTATACAATATCTTATTGGCCTAGTCATTGGTGTTCACTTATTCTACAATTATTTATTGAGACCCTCTTATATGTGAAGCACTCTGTTGGTGCTGGCAATACAGCTGTGATGTAAACAAGTGAGTTTAGATCACACTAGAACATGAACCTTCTGGATAAGGACAATGTGAACTCCTGGGAGACAAGACAAGGCCTAGAGCCTAGATTTGCTGGGCTGATTGGGAGTCTTGTGATACAGGAGCTTCCCAGGGCCTTGGAAGCCAGCTGATGTTGGTGTGAGCTGGGAACCTAGGTTCATGGGAGACCACTGGAAACCTGGTGCTACGGGAGTCAGCTGGTACCAAGATGCAGCAAGAGCTTGGGATCACAAGACTACCAGGAGCCTGCAGCCGCAGGAGCTGCCTGGAACTTCTGAAATCTGGGCCCTGGGTGAACTAGGGACATGGGTTTGCAGGAGCTCCCAGGGAGCCCCTAGGACCACAGGAGTTGACCTAGTGCTTGAATGGGCTGGTTCTGAGGTTTGGCGTGAAGTCAGGTCACTTCATTCTCCTTCTCCTACAAAAGGGTATGTGTCTGTACTAGGCTGCCCAGGATCGGGGGACAGAAATGTGTGTAGAGTGAATCTGTCTTTGCTATGCTCCTCAATGTGTCTTTCCATATTCCTATGCTTCCCCCAGGTGCTGTAATTTCTCACCTGACATCTTTGGCTCTTGTGGAGGTATTTTGGTGTGAAGATTGTTGTTCAAAATTATGTTTTGGGGTGCTAAAAATTCCTATGCTGCCATTTTGCTGACATTACCCTGGAACCAACACTGTTTTAAGTGCTTACTCTATCATTAAATTTTACCGAATTCCGTATGAAGTGTATATAATGATTATACTCATTTTATAAATAAGAAGGTAGAAGATCTGTCACTATAGTTTGCTTTTTGTTTTATATAAATAGAATCACACACTATGCACATTTTGTCTTCTTTTATTCAGCCTAATTATTTTGAGTTTCATCAGTTAAGAATATCAATATTTCATTCCTTCTATTTGCCAAGTAGTAGTCCATTATATGTATATACTATAACTTGCTTATACAGTCACATGTGAATGAACATTTGAATTGTTTCTAGGTTTTGACTATTACAAATAAACCTTCTATGTATGTTCATGTACCAGTCTTTGAATGGATATATGTTTTCCCTTGGGGACATAGAGGTGGAAAGGCTGGATCATATGATATATATATAACTTACTAAGAATCTGTTATATTTTATATAACACTATTTTATATTCCCAAAAGCAGTGTATGATGGATCCGGTTTCCCACAACTTTACTGATACTTTGTAGAGTCAGTATTTTTTTAAATTTTAGTTATTCTAATACTTATGTAGTGGTTTTTCACAGTTGTTTTAATTTGCATTTCTTCAATGACTAAAGATGAACATCTTTCCATATTCTTATTTACCATCTGTACACATTCTTTGATGAAGTCTCTGTTCAAGTCTGTTACCCATTTTTGTTGGGTTGCTTTTAAAAAATCAATATTGAGTTTTGAGAGTCATCATATGTTCCTGATACGTCTTTTTGTTAGATAGATGCTTTTAAATGATTTCTCACAGTCTGCGACTTGCCCCTTTGTTATCTTACTGGTGTTTTTTAAAAACAGAACTTTTTCATTTTGATTAAGTCCAATTTATCAATTTGTTCTTTCATAGTGTTTTAACAGTGCATATAAAAATATTTAACCAGAACTCACAGAGATTTTTCTCTTATGATTTCTTCTAAAGATCCTCTAATTTCTTTTTTTTATGATATGTCTATGATAGATTTGGTGTTACTTTTTGTGTAGAGTGCAAAGTTTAAATCAAAGTTCATTTTTAAAACATGGATATCAGTTTTTCCAGTACCATTTGTTGACAAGACTTTTCTTTCTCAAATGAGTTGCCTGTCCACCGCTGTCAAGTCCGCTGTCCCTATACACGTGTATCTGTTTTCAGATTGATAATTATGTCTATCATTTCTTCTGAGCCCAAGAATAGTTTTACCACTTCCTTTCCAATTAGAAGAATAGTTTTACCACTTTCTTCTTCCTTTCCAATTAGATCTTTTTTGTTTGTCTTATCTGATTGACTGGACAGAACTAGTACAAAGTTTAACACAGATGAGAGTGGATATCTTTGAATGTTTTCCTATTTTAGAGGGAAAACTTTTGCTCTTTTACCATTAAGTGTTGTATATTTGTTTATAGTGTATATATTTATTTATAGGAGAAAACATTTGTTTATAGGTTTCCTTTATCAATTTGAAAAAATTCCCTTCTTTTCTTGGTTTGCTGAGATTTTTATCATGATTGAATATCAGATTTTGTCAAATGTTTGCTTTTCATCTATTGAGGTAAACACATGGTTTTCTTCTTTAGTCTGTTAATGTGGTGGCAACAAGTTAGATTTGAATCTAACTCAACCCTGCACCTATAGAGTTAACCCAATGTTGCTAGAGTATATTATCTCTATCCTATAATCCTGGATTAATTTTTGTTTGGAATTTTTCTATGTATGTTCATGACAGCTATAAGTCTATAGGTTGTGTTTTTTTTTAATCCTGTTTAATGTCTTTGGATTTAGTAATAGGATAATACTGGTCTCAAAGATTGAATTGAGAGTATTCCTTCATTCAATTTTCTGAAAGAGATTGTGCATAATTTTTATTAATTCTTTTTTAAAAAATTTATATAACTCTTCAATGACAGTGTCTGGGCCTGAAATTTTCTCTTACAGAAGCTTTAGAATTATAAATTGAATTTCTTTACTGAGTATAATTTAGATTATCTATTTCATCTTGGAGGCATCAATAATTCATACTAGTTTACCATCTGCCTGACCAGACCTGTTTTCTTGACTACTATCAACATCTATTTCACTTATTTTAGATTTTTAAAGTGTGTTTTTGCATTCATGAAATGGGTCTACTTTGTTGTTTTATCAATCTTAAATTAAGTGTAGGCAAAGACTTATAAATGATAAATCTCTCTAAAATATTTATTACTATTGTTTTGGGGAGGATTTTTTTTGTATGTTGTCAGATAATGATGTCCTTTTTAAAATTTAAATAGATTTATTGATTTGAGAGAGAGGGGAAGGGAAATATCAATGTGAGAGAGAAACATCGAATTGTTACTCCCATATGGCCCTCAACTGGGGATATAACCTGCAACCTAGGTACGTGCTCTGACTGGGAATCAAACACCAACCTTTTGGTGTGCAAAACAACACTCCAACCAACTGAGCCACCACACCATCCAGGGCAATACACTCTATTTAAAATTTATCAACCAAACCAATAGAGAAGATATTAAAATGTCAAAAAGCAAAAAACAAGTAAGAATAGACTGATTTTTTTTGTTTGTTAAAGATTAATTTTATAGGAAAACATTTCGGAGATTTTGTTCTGTGTAATCATTGATCTGGGCTAAGTTTAACTGGAGTAATTATGAATTCAATAAAATATTGCACAAGAATCACACATATGTGGTTGCTTAAATATGTTTTTATTCTAAAAGCCTATTACTTTTGTTTAAAAAAGAGGACATAAGACAAACGTTTATGTTAATCTTTGAATTTATTCCTTATATAATACATGTCAAAAATCATGTAGTAGGAATGACAATGATGTTACATTATTTTTTAAGTTGTTTCAGGAAACATGTGATTCTTCATTTTAGTCCAAAATCTCTTGATCTAAATCCTGTGGTTACAAAGCTTTAAAAGTCTTCAACTTGATTAATTCATGAGGTTTAAAATACCAAGTTTATGTCAAAGTCCAAAGTTGCCATTATATAGCTGTGCTGTTTTTGTAAATCAATGTATGAAAGAGATTTCTGTAAAGGTCTAAGAGAAAAAGATGCACTACTGTTTGGAATAAAAATTATAACTAACATGCCTAGAGTTTCCCCTCTGGGATGTGTCCATTAAATGATGCAGCCTTTCTCCACTTAGTCTTGAACACTCTACGTTGAGTATTTCAGTAAATTTTGTTTTCACACTGGCAAGTAGCCTTGCATTTTTCCTTGAGCAATTCATGTTCACAGCCAGCTGTTTTCTTCAAAGAATCACAGTTACTAAGGAGATCTTCATATTCACAACTATTGGCTGTAAGAGAAACACATTAGTTACATTATTATAATTTTCCTTAGTAGCAGCAAAACAATTTATACATTCAAAATGCATAGTGGGGGTAGGATTGGACAAGTAAATCAGTATCTCTCACACTATGATGGGTTTTTCATTTCTTGAGGGACATATAAGGTGCCTTAACTGAGCTCACTATTTTATCCATCATTTTAAATTTTGAACTTGATGATGTTTCTAAAATTAAGTGACCTACTTTTCTCCCTTCCCAATGAAAATAAAATGAATATAAATAAATATCCAGATACCTGCAGAGCCTAATATGGGAGCCACTAGCCACATGTAGCTATTTAAATTAAATTATTAAAAATTAAATAAAATAAAAAAATATTTCCTTAATCATTTCCATCCTTTTATGCTATTGGACAGCACTGCTTTAGACTCTAATGTTTTTCTTTTAAAAGAAAGTGTTTTCTGTAAGAAGATTAAGATGTAAAACAGTGATAATATGCCCCCCCCTTCCTTCTGGAATTTCTTCCTGAATGTTCCCCGGGGGCCCCAAACTCAACAAATCCCAAACAAAACTCATCATACTACCCACAAGGCTGATGATTCTTGGGTTTTGTCTTCCTACATCCCTCCCACAATCTCAGTGAAATGGCTCTCTGACTACTCGGTACTTTAGGCCAGGAACTGAATCCACCTGAACTCCCTTTCTACTTCTGATCAACATTCAGCCTGCACAGGTAACAAACACTGGCTATTCTTCTTCTTGTCTCTCAACCCTGTCCATTCCTCTTCATTTATTTTGCCAGTAACGTAGTAAAGATATCCATTTTTTTCAATCCATGTTTTTCAACAGTTTCCTAGCTGGCTTCCATCCAATTGTTTCTACGTACTCTTGCTAGAAAGTTTTTAATGAAACGTGATTTTGACCTCGTCACCCTTTGGTTTAAAATCTTTCAGTTAAGTGCTTATTGCTAATAGGATAATTTTGATCTCCTTAGTAAATAGCATTCAGTCAAGGTATAAAGATTCAACTTTTTTATTCTGTAGTTGATTTATAGCTTTGATATCATCAATATTCTGAATTATACCTTTATAATTCAGTCAGAAAGAATGCTAACTAAAGGTGAACACATTAAACGTAAAAATCTCAGTGAATAAATCAAATCTATTTTTCATAATTTTAATTAAAATATCCCAACTATAAAAGGCCAATAGCTTTTTTTACTTCTACTTATAAAAAACTTTAGAAATTATCTATATAACATTTTATTCTCTCCTTTTGCAACAATGTGTTTGTGAGTTCTATGCACCGATATTGTATGAGGATTGGATTTTCTCATTAAGAAATACACAAAACTACTTATTTAGGGTGAGTGATCATTTATTAAGCCAAACACTATGATTCCTATTATACTATAAAACATGATAATCAGCATGCTGAACACATTAGCACAAACAATATTTGGTTTGCCTGTCTAGACTGAGCTATAATGTCGATTCACAGCCATCGATTTATACATTTTCATTCTTACAAAATACCACCACCTTTCGTGTAATGATACTTAGATGAAATGAGCTAGTTACCAGAAACATGTATAGTTAGTAAGCTCTGCATAGCCACGGAAGTCATTGATGGTCGATGGTTCATTATGTTTGATATGGTAATATAGTTTCCATTACAAAAATATGTAGGTAAAGTATACAAAATGTTTACTAAAACATACATCCTGTTGAGGAATCTTTCTGTCTTTTGTGTAAAAATATTATATAGCCCTGGCGGTAGGGCTCAGTGGATTGAGCACCACCCTGACAAACCAAAGTGTTGCTGGTTCAATTCCCAGTCAGGGCACATGCCTGGGTTGCAGGCCAGGTCCCCAGTAGAGGCCACACATTGATGTTTCCTGTCACTCTCTTTCTCCCTACCTCCTCCTGTCTAAAAATAAAATAAAATCTTTTTTAAAAAGACATTATATAAATTGCTATCTTTGGGAGAAATCTTAATCCATAAAGAGAAAATAAAATATGAACCCTTTATTATAATAGTAGGTTAATCTTTTAGACTTACTGCATAGTCCATTGTTACAGTTACCAGGGCAACTGGCACAGGGTGTTCCTTGTTGGTAAGGGGTGTTCTTTTTATTCACATTATTACCACTGAAATTTAAAATGCATAATGTCAAATATTTTTCCCTCTGCTGTTTAGTTTCTACTCCAAGGGTAGCATCAGTCACAAAATAGACATAGTTAATAAATATATTTAGATATGTTAACAAAAATGAAAAAATATAATTCCCAGTATGTAGTTCAGATGGACTCCAAATTAAGAAAATGCTTCACATATTGACCCATCTCCTTGACTATAATTCTGCAGGTTGAACAAATAAATTGGGATAACTACAGTCTAAACTTTTCAGAGCATATTTTAGTACTCCCTTCATCTCCTGGTGGGCTTCGTCAAGTTGGTAAGGCAGTGCAGCTGACGTGCTGGCTAGGGAAAGGACGCGTCTCCTGGACAGACCGGGGAAACTCTTGGGGGCAAGCGGTTGCTGTATCAAAAAGGATACTCAGCACTACAATATTATTTATATTTGAAAAATGATAAAATATCCATAATTTTTCTTACATGTACTAGGGACAGTAATGCTCTAGTATATATATTTTTTGACCTCTAGATAGCGATAATGGTATTTAAGTAGTTAGTGACGTGTGAGAGTTGGGAAAATTTCTTGAGTTTCTAGAAGCTGTGTGTGAGAGATTTTTATGTTTACCAAAAAAGGAATGTTAGTTTTAAAAAAGTTTCATAAACATCAATACCCATGGTATAATCACTTTACAGAGACTAACTTGTAACTTCCTAAAGATCATTATTGTATAGACCATTTAATTCCTTTGAAAACACATGGGAGTCCTAATCTCCACAGTTTCAAATGGGCCAAGGGCCCAAGGCAATACACTTGAATCTCCATCTCCCTGCACAGAATAGAACTATGTGTGTGTGAGCCCTTGGAAAATTGTAAAATAGACATAAATGTGTTCTGGAAGTTCTCTCACCTCTGCTTTCCTTCATTATTCACTCTACCCCTCACTTCAGATGCCTGGTTCCAGACACCTTCCTTCTCACAGTCAGGCAGTGAGTTTGGATGCATGCCCCTCGGGCTTTTCATTTCTTTTTAGTAAGACTTAATAAGTGCTTGTGGACACATGACTCTAGAGGCCACAGTTCTTAAGGGGGAGATCCACATCCCCAGGTTGTCTACAATCTCAAAATAAATTTTATGGGAGACTTGGTTTTTGGGGGTCTGCCTGCCTCTAGTCATAAGGAATTGCAAACATTAAAAGAAATTAGGGCTAACAAATATGTTGAGATTAGATCTTTATTATATCTATAAGATTTATTCTGGATGACATCAAACATATTGCTTGATGAAACAGCATGTTTCCTGCTATAAATCAAGACAGTATGGGATTGTTTGTTATGGAGGTATTTTGTGTGTGTGTGTGTGTGTGTGTGTGTGTGTGTGTGTGTGTGTGTTAAATCTGCTGAGAAACAAAGACTTAAGATATTAACTTTTTCTTGACTCTGAAATATATTAAAGATTTCTTAGAAAACCTTTGAAACTCAAAAGAGTAAATTATTTTTAATGGTAAAAATGTAAATGGTTTTTGGATAAACAGAAGTGGAAACATTTTAGCAGAGAAGTCAGAAATTACAATTTTTGATCCCTGCACTATCCCTCTTTGCTTAATCATCAAGTTTCCACCCTCTTAGAATGTGAAACTAACAAGAACTGATGATACCAAATCTAGAGAAATGCACACCCACATACTCATGGAATAACCTTGAGCCCTAGGGAAAGGCAGTTGAGAGAAAAGACATCATTTTATAATTAAGGAACGAGAGCTTCAGATTTTATACTTGGACCTGAGAACTTAGTCTCTTTGATAAGTTGAATGTATTTCACCTTAAAAAAGCATTTCTGAAGATTTATTACTACCATTCTCTAAAACATATATTTATTCTGGTTTGTTTAATATATGAGAATTTAAAAATATTAAATTACAGATGGAATTATTTACATTAAACTCTAAAGTGTATACTCACGCAGGACAATAGTGGCAAACATAGTAGTATTTTAGACTGTCTTGTTTGGGACAATAGGCAACTCCACATCCAACACGGTAAGATGAGTACCAAACAACCTACAAAACCATAAGGAAATATATAAAGAATGCAGCAAAGAGAAAAAGAAAATATTAAAGAATACCAAATAAAAATTTGAAAAAAATATTACTACTGTAGTTTATTACTATTTTATTGAAATATTTAAATTATTGAAACAAACTCACAAACTTTTAAACTATTAAATGTTTCTGTAGTCACTACTTTATTCATATATAATTTTGTAAAAATACAGAGTGAACTTCCCAACCAAGAGTTTTGCAAGCCATGGGGGAAAATGACAGCTCGAGATGAAGTGCCAGCCCAGTGCCAGGACTGTATTGTACCTATTTAGGCTCATTCCCCCAAATTAAACACTGGAGTTGGTCATAATATAGAGAAGCTTTCTATATTAGAGCATTTGTAGATAGGTATTTTCATTTTTTCCCTTTACCTGGGTATAATGTCCAACAACTGCACTGGAACTCTTTGGTCCTACACCATAGACAAAATTTTGGCTCTCATCGTACCAGTTTTGGATTGCATCTGACCAGGCAGTAGGGCCACTTGACATATAGAGATTCTCACCACACTTTGTACCTAGGAAGGAACAGATTGTGAAGAATGCAATGAAGCAGCAATGGTAAAATATATCTACTCTATGAACACCAGGGTGTTGCCTCTACCATGCCCATACTTGCTAATATTGATTAATGCATTAAGAAGGTGGTTCCATTCCTTATCAGCTAGAAAGCTGTATAGAAGATTTGCCTATCAGAGTGAGGCTGGCCTCAACATATAAAATTTGAATAGGTTGAGAAGACTTTATTCTTCCTTCCTTCCTCTGGATTGTCAAAGATGCATTCTTTTTCATGCTAAATTCTTGGGGTGTGTAATGCTCATGTGCTCTCAGCTTTGTATTGTGAGCTTGCAAAAGGCAACAACCAACTTTTATTCTTTCTCTCCTCCCCGTGACCACCTTCACCAGAGATTTTTCACATACAGGGCCCTGAATAAATGTTTATGATTATTATTTTGTGTGAACTTTGGGGGGAAAAACTTTATAAACAGTCTTTATGAGCCCCAAACAAAAAGCAACTGACAGCAGGAGGATTGGCAGTTTTCCAAACTTTGGATCTTCCCTTAATCAATAAATAAGAATGACACAAGGTTAAGTACCCCTCAGAGAGTAAGGCAAGAAGCACCTTGCAGAGGGTGATGTCAGGAAGATGGTGGAGTAGGAAGGCTGGACTTTCTTGCCTTCAACACACTGATCCAACAACAGTTCATGAAAAAATTGCCCTTGTGAGGAATACAAAACCTAACTGAAAGCTCCTATACTTGGAGAATATGAAACCAGACTCACTGAAGCCTGTAGGGAGATTGGAAGATTTGCTAGAAACTCTACTCTCAGCACAGGAAGAGACCCTCCTACCTTCCAGCTTCTCCCAGGGGAGAGAATGATTTGGTTCATGTGTCCTACATCCCAACTTTTCCAAGGGGACTCCCCTACAAGCCTGGATTCTGTTTTGGTGGTCTTGGAACTCTGAGTGTCAGGCACAGGCTAGCCACCTGAAGGATCATAGACATGGTGGCTTGGGCTGGTAGACACCATAACTGTCTCCTTGGCTTAGCACAGAGCAAGAAAATAAAAAAATCTTAGCTCCCAGCTTTCGCTTTGGGAGGCAAAGTGTTGATCAGTGCATCTAATGTTCTAATTTTGCCAATGCTACCCAAAGAACTGGCATCTGTCTTGCCATTCTTGGATCTGATGGGGTTGGCACAGTCTTTCCCTCTGGGGACGGAGAGAGAAGGTGATTGGGTTTGGTAGATGCTATAGATCCTCCTCCCAGTTCAGCATACAGCAAGCAGTCAAAAACCCCAGCTGCTTGCTTCTCCCTAGTTGGTCTGGGCATCCAATTTTGAGGCAGCCTCAAATTTCCAGAGACTGCCTAAAGGACTGGCTTCTGACTTGTCTGTTTAGGAATGCTAACAAGACCTAGTATATAATCTAGCTGTCCCAGGGCTGTTGAAAACAGAGGCAGGGGTTTCACTGGCAGTAGTCATAGTTTCCCTTTCTGGTCCAGCAGAAAGTGAGCAGGCAAAAAATTTCAGCTCCTAGCCTCTCCCTGGGAGAGAACTGAAATGGAATATCCAAGGATATATTGTTTCTGGGGGTTGCCTGAGAAACTAAGGATCTTTTCTCTGACTGACCACAATGGGCTAGAATAAACATTTCTTCAAAGGCAATGTAAAAATGGCCAAAAATGTAAGTGAAAATGTGTTCAACACCACTAATCATCAGGGAAATGTAAACTGAAACCACAATGAGATATTACTTTACTCCTATCAAGATGTCCATAATTTTTTTTAAAAGACAAGTGAAGGTGAGGATGTAAAGAAACTGAAATTCATACACACTGTTGGTTAGAATGCAAAATGGTATAACTGCTATGGAAAACAGTATGGACATTCCTCAAAAAATCAAAAGTAGAGCTACCAAATGATTCAGCAATTCCACTTCTGAGTATTTATCCAAAAGAATTGAAATCAGGATCTTAAAGAGATATTAACACTCTGATGTTCATTGTAGCACTATTCATAATAGCCAAGATATAGAAACAATCAAATATCCACTGACAGATAAATTTATAAAGAAAATGTAATATGTATGCATACATATGTATATACATACATATAATGGAACACATTCATCCTTTAAAAAGGAGGGCATTCTGCACCATGCAACAATACAGATGAACCCTAAGGACATTACACTAAATGAAATAGGCCACAGGAAGATGACTACTGAATAACTCCACTTACATGAAACATCTAAAATATTCAAATTTACAGAATCAAAGAGTGAAATCATAGTTACTGGAGCTGGTAGGAAAGGGAAATGGGGTGTTACTAATCAGTGGGCATAAAGTTTCAGTTATGAGTGATGAATAAACTCTACAGGTTTGCTGTATACCACTGTACCTACAGCCAGTAATAGTGTATTGTACACTTAAAATTGTTTAAGATGGTAGATCTCATGTTGTGTTCTTAAATAATAAAAGTAATTAAAAAAATAAAGAAGTTTCTTGCAGCCCAGAAACTTTTCCCTATCTTTTCAAGCCCTTACTTAATATTTATACTTTGGTGGTTAGAAATTTAATCTCTACATTCTGCTCAGAATATAACATATTCTAGGATATCTTCTTTAATAGTGAAAGAGAGAAACTAAGACTCTAACCATAAACTTGGATTTTTAAGACCATTTGTGTTTCAATCTTCTACTGAATGTAGTTTTATCCCTCTTCATAATTTCATTATACTGTAAGAACCAAGAAAATAAAAAACAGCTCTACTGAAATTACAAGTAAATTATTCACTGTATTCAAATTAGGCTTGCCTATATGTATATCATGCTTGATAATGTAAATAAATATATGTAAAGTTTGTGCATACAAGTGTCTTTCAGTTTATGTCTTGATATGTCTTCATGTGTTTTTTGAATCTAATATATTACTATATGCATTATGGGTACACAGTCCATACAAAATATTTGACTTTTTGCTATCAAAAATTTTAACAATGATTCAGTATATCCAAAATATTTATCTTGACTTAAAAAGGATTAGTATTTTTATAGAAAAAAATAAGGAACAATTCTACGTAATTAAATTTATTTTATGGAAAGGAAATAAATAGCTTTCAGAACACCAAATGGCTATACCCCAAAAGGGCAGTGTATTGGAAATCAGAAAGCCTGGTTAACTTTCCAATATATGTCACTACTTCAGGTTGTGTTCTTAGTCATTCCTGTCAAGACTTAGTTCTCTAATCTTTAAAATTTGCAAAATAGTGATACATGACCTGTTTACTCATGAGCTGGTTGAGAGGAACAAATGACTGAGGAATTACTTGCATAACATGAACAATCTACACGCACAAAATGGTACTTATCATCTGAGTACCATTATCTCTCTATATACAGATACTTGGATTTCAAAGAGACAAATATAAGCAACATTTATTCACATTCTTAGCGCAACACTCTGGAATGGTCCATTCTATTTTATTCATCCACTGTTATTTTATTTCTTCATTTATTCAACAAATGTTTACTCATTTACATACTGGTTTTTCGGTCCTGTGCATTACTGTGTTCTAAAGTGCACTTGTTTGCCCACTTTTGAGCATTTGTTGTTGCTTCTGCGCTCCATTCCTACGTGTCATAAGAAAAAAAATACAAGTATTCAACTCCAAGAAAGCATATGTATTATAATCTGATTGATAAATTAACTTACACTACCTCAATACTCTGTAGGGTGCTGGCCGGTGTGGCTCAGTTGGTTGGAGAGTCATACGATAAGCATAAAGGTTGTGTGTTTGATCCCAGGTCAGGGTGTGTACAAGAGGCAATCAATCTATGTTTCTCTCTCACATCAATGTTTCCTTTTCCCTTTTCCCCTTCCCTTCCCCTCTCTCTAATATCAATAAGCATCTCCTCCAGGGAGGATTTAAAAAAAAACAACAACAAACAAAAAAACTTCTGTAGATGTATAATCTATTTGTCACTGGTCTAAAAGTATCTTTTGTTTGGTGTGTCTTTTATCTGCCACAGTGCCAGTTTCCACAAGAACACTCTATAGGTAATGTGTCTAGCAAAGGTCTAATGCAATATCTATGCATTAGTCTAATGCATTAATAGTCAGATATTAATGAACACACAACAGCCATACTCAGGATTTTTAGTAATGGTGTTATTCTCAATACTGATCAATATGTAAAATATTATAATTATATTTCAATAATAATAATAAGTTGGTCTAGATTATTCCCAATTTCATTTGTAGCCCATGGATTTCATATAGGAGATATTTAGCTTTCAGGGACTATGCCTTGGAAAGTGGGCTATTTACCCCAAATGGCACTGATCCTGAAAGAAACAGGATTTATTTCAGACTAGGAAAAATAGCAAAGAAAAAATGTGATAGCTTCACATTTGATGCCTGAAGATTTGGCCTCTAATTCTGCCTTCCAAACTTTATAGCCCAAACTTGATGAGTTATTTAACTATTACAAAATAAAATTAAGAATTTCTTTCTTGCCCATAACACAGCTCAAGTGAAATAGCAAAACAAAGGCAGAATGTAAGCCACAAAGTTCTTAATAAATGTTAGCTACCAGCTGCCTGATCTCGCCACCACTTGTTCCCACCACTTTCCTTATATTGCTGCCCCTTACCATCTTTAGCATGTTGCTGGCAGGTGGAGAGACTGATTTCCTTAGTTCATTGTGTTTATTTACAATCTCCTTTTGTATTTGTGTTTGAGTGGTTAACAAAGCAGAAAGGACTGGATCCTAAAGAGATAAAAAATTAGAGCTTTTTTAAAAAAACATTTATTTTTTTTTTTACATATAAGACTTAATAATTAATTCAAGGAAGCAAGGTTCGTTTTTAAAAGTATTCAGTTTAAGCCATATTATTTGTGAAGCACTGACAATGAATCTTCGCCAAAGCTACAACAAATAGCAAAGAAGTAATTTGAAGCTTTGAGAATGAAAATGGAATTCACGGAATGATGACTTTTAAAAATGATTTTAGGCCAAAAATGCCCATTTCTAGTTTCAAGGGAACTCAATATGACTTATGAGTGATAATATTTAACATCACAAAAGTGCACGATAGGGACATTAAGATAGATTGTTTTACATTTGATCAAACTGCAGCAGGATGAATAAGGGTGGAGCTCAAGGTTTGTCTTAGAGTTTGAGGGAAATTTGACCTGACATGATTTGAGGCAGAATGTATTTAAAATATTTTAGGGAAAGAAATTTTAAGCTCAGTGGGAATGAATTCATAATTCTAGAAAATTCATCCTACCTACTGTGAGTAGATTATATGAAGTCAGTCAAAAGACGACTTTGCAATATTAAACAAATGTCTAAGGCATTTGGAGGAAGTGACATCCAAAAAATGCTGACTTTTGCTTTTTTATTGCAGACTTTTTTATTTTATTAATATTTCTGACTTTTTTATTTTATTAACAGAAGTATAAAGTACTAAATCAGGTGTCGGTATTTTTTGGTTTATCTTTGTGTGTGGGAGTGTGGGGTCTAAGTCTGAAGGTAGAGTAGAAATGTGGGAATTGTTCACTAAGGTTTATGCAATTGAATGACCTAAATTTACAATTATCTAAAATACTATTTCATCATGCATTAGATATAAAATTTATTAATGTGATTTTCCTCTTCCTTTTTTATACTAAATCTTTGAAATCTGGTATGTATTTTACACTTAAAAGTACATCTTATTTTGGACAAGGCACATTTCATTCTTCAATAGCCACATGTGACTAGTAGCCACGGTACTGGACAGCACAGCCTTAGGCTTTCATCTAGATCATTGTGTTAAGTGCTCTGAGCAACCAGTGAGTACTTTGTGATATAATAGAAACTCTTGCCCTTTTCCACCCTCCAAGTGCCTTGCCATCCCACAAAGTTGCCTGAATAGCTCTGGGAGGATTTTCCACTCTAATATTACCTTTCCTTCTGCAGGTAAAGATGGAAGCAGCACAGCAGCCAGAAACACCACCACTGGGAATAAAGCCATTGCTGGGAATAAAGCCATTGTTGGGAACTAAGTCAAAGAGAACAAAGGTCTGCATTGAACATATAGTCCATGGACTAAAAGGGAAAAACTAATGCAATGATTATGGTCATCTCAAAGCAACTGCAATTCCCAAGTTCATAATGGAATAAGAGAAGGTTGTCATATAGTGCCAGTAGAATCATAGTAGAACCAACACGGTCTCTGATAGGGACAAAATATAAACTGAAGAACATGACTGATGCCCTTGAAATATATATAGTACATATTGTCATACTTATACATTGTTCTATAAAAGATACTTCTGGTTCAATTGATTCAAAGTCATAAACATGGGAATTATTTATATTATCCCTTTTAGAATGAAATATAAAATATTCATTTAAGTTTCAATTTGACATATTGTGTAAAATTTACTTGAAATCATTCTTTCAGTAAAAATGTAACCATAAAATTAGGTAAAACATGAAGGGATTAAATATACCATTTACTATTGACAAAATAAAAATAATTGAAATATAATGTTCACATTAAAATAAATGAGTTATCACTTATACTTGGTTCTCAAAGCAAGATGGAGGCCTTGCTTTATCTGACAAAAGAAAGAAGGTGAAGGGAAGATTAACACAATATTTATTACATCTATCTCTGTTTTAGCAGATTCTGGTTGTGCAAGTAAATCTAAGTCATGAAGATTTGGAACAGAATTTTTTACATCAATAGTTTCACATTTCATTGCCAGTTGTCTGACATTGTTTTTTTTTTTATTATTTGGTTTCCATTTATCTTTAATTTGAATAAGTAAAGCATGCCCTTCTTCCCTAACCAGGCTTCTCAGGCACTTTAAAATTTGGATGTGGCCTTTTTGGTATAGTTTTTTTAAAATAGCTGCTCAAAAGAGGTTAACCACTGTAAAGGTAACCAGGATCCTACCGTATAGCTGAACTCTTGTGGCTCAGTTTTCTGTGATGTTTACTTCCTAGTTAACAACTTTTTATGTCTTATGTTGAAGAGCATAGTTTTTAAAAACACTAGTGATGAGACACTCTCTCAGAGATTCAGTTTTCTCTTCTGTAAAATGTGTATTATCTTATAGGTTTTCTTTGAAAACTAAAAGCTGTAATATACATAGCATACCTAATACAATACCTGGCACAGGATACTCAATAAATGGAAATTATTAATATTTATATTATTACCCTTTACAATGTGTGATCATTTTCTGAGCTCATAGGATCTTCCATAAATGCATGTTGCTTGATTAAATTGTTCATTTATTTTAGAAGTGTTTATAAGAACTATGTTTATTTTATTTTTTGCATTTATGAGAAATTTTTTAGTTTGCATAAATTAAAATATGTAAGTTTAAGGCACAGCATATAGCTATATAAACATTACAAACTGGCCACTGTTATACAAGTAAAGAAAGTGAAATTCAGGAAACCTAAAACCTTCATAAGTCATTATCTTTTTATACTATTATCAGAAAAGTTTCTAGTTTTCTTTTCATTCCTCCAGGGAGAGAAGATTCAGATGACCTTTGATATGCATGCCTTCACCAAACAACCAAATACCTGAGTTGAAGGTATTATCTCAAGTGAAGTTAAAAGCAAATTAGAGGGAAGACATCAGGTTTGCATGTTTTAGAGCTATTGGTAAACTATAACTTATGGTGACATTAATTACATAGTCTGATGATTAATCCTTTAAGGACTAAATTATGTAGAGTTTACACCCATGACCAAAAAGATTATCATCATGTCATGAATCACCATGCCACGAATCCATGTAAGCAAGGGTGCCTACTGAAGAACTGTCTTTCATAAATCCTTCAAATTTCAGTTAATTGATAACAAAATTCCTTAACAGGCCCATTGTATCCATATTGTGAGTTTCTTTGTATTTTATATAGATACATTTGAGATGGAAAGCTTAATGCTGTTTAGATGGCTATTAACAGCCATTAATTTCTAAAAGCTCTTTAAATTTGTGAATACGCTTTTAAGAGCAGCATTATCTGAAATACGCCACACATTTTTCCTTACCTTCGTTTAGTTATAAATCAAAGTCTTACAGATATCCCATAAGATTCGGAAAACATATTTAGAAATATTTTCAAAATTAGTTACAAAAACCTTTTGTAAGTTTGTCTAATAGCACAGTGAGTAGAAGGAAGAACAACCTTGGTCAGGTAAACTGTCCACTTCACTGTTGTTCCTTGGAAATGGTGAATGACAAGTAACTTCATTATGCTACCAGTGCACTTCATACAATATTTAATTAACAGCGAACCTCTGAAGGATTAAGTTTTCTCCTGTCTCCCCATTCAACTCTGCTCCCTGCAACTACTTGGCCCATAACCAGGAAGACAACTGGATAATCACTAGGTACTGCCACTTGAAAACAAATACATTAATAAATTCATTCAGTAAATAGTATTTTTAACCTTATGTTCAAAGTTAGTTAATTTGAATAACTACTGAAAAGAGAATACAAGATTAAGTAAACTGCATTAAAAAAAAAAAGTAAACACATCTTGAGAGTTGGTATTATAAACTCAGTCACCTTTCCATAAAATAAAGCTATTATCAAGGAAAGAAAATTCAAAGTGTTTATCTTGCTCCTCTTATTACACACTCAGTGAACCATCCTATGTATAAAATTAATAGTTAGATATGTAGATGTAAAGACATAGTATAAAAATGTCTAAAGGAAAAAAATCCTTATTTTCATCTGAGATTAGGAATATCAAATTCAATTAGCCTTAATCAAAAATTTCCCTATTTTTTTCTTACAAACACAGTAACAGACAAGCTTGATAATGTAACTCTTTTTAATTGGCAGTTAGGGCTGTAAAGTGTCCTTAACTGTTTTATAAAGATCATTTAAAAACCAAAGCACTAATTTTATAAACAGGAATAGCATAATACAAATATCTAAATTTCAGATTTGACTTTTTCTAGATAGAGTCTAAGAATAAAGAAACATTTTTTCTTTCCAGATAATAATTTAACATATAAAGTTAAGTCCCATTGAATAGAGAATGTGAAAGTTCTTGGTATAAAAACCACCTTAGAGTTTGGAGTTTGAGAGTCATTGCACTCTATGGTGGGACAGAGACTGGATTTTGTTTGCGTTCTGTAATTACTTCATAATCTTCCTCCATTTCAAAAGTGAGATTTCCAAATGAACTGGATATCACTGTTTCTGGTTGATCTGTCTGAACAATGGAGTCAGTCTGGAACTTATTCTGTTGGTATTGTCTGTCTACTTCTTCAGACATCTTGTCTTCTTGTTTTTCCTTCTTCTTCATCCGGTAACATTCATCAATGGCATATTGGTATTTTGGGGCAGTGATGCCAAAAACAGATGCAATCTTCTTTCCAAGAAAGTCACACATTGAGAGGGTTGATGTGGTAGCATGATGCATGTAAAAACATAAATAGGGGCCCCAGGTGAGTTTTCTTGGATCAACAGTAGGCACACCATCTTTCTTTCCTAGGCCATCAACTTCATCTTCTTCTGTGCTGTATTCTTCCATTGTTTCACCACTGACAAAGTGGATGACTCTCCTTGGGACTTTCTTCTTTGTTCTGATGACTTCCAGCTCTACACTTTCAAAGCCTTTTTCCTTACTCATTTGCCAAGCAGAGTCCCTGAACGCCTTGGCAGCAGCAGCTCCAGAGACTGTGACCCCTTCTCCTCCTTCTGAAGAGCTCACTGGCTCCAGGTCCATCGTTGTCACCACCACAGGGCTGCTGGCACCGGCTAGATAGAACGTATGAACCAGTGATGGCTGATAAGCCCACTTCCATCCTCCACCTCCCTGCCCAGCCATGGAGAGAGCCTGCAGTTTGGAAGTGGGACTCACCCATAGTCAAGACTTGTGTTTATAAGTGTTTATGATTCCAAGTGTCATAGAAAAAAATCAGTACAATCTAATCTAATATTCTAACATATAAGCCCCAGTTCTAGTGATGACCGCCTTGCTAACTTTAGGAAAATGATTTAACACTTGGCTATTATACCCACATCAGCTTATTGAAAGACATACACGAGCCTGAAGATTTTGTATTGCTCAGTCATTAAATATGTTTGCATTAGATGACTCATGATTCCCATCATTCAATAGATTATGATATCACATCCCCCTTCCTGACCTCCCCACACCTAACTCACCCAACCTATAGTCATCTTTGTTGCATCAATAACATTTTCAGTGAGAGTATACTTACAGAAGACAACTGATCATATTTTATTCCTTTAAACCCATATTCATACAGAGTTGAAAAGTTTGGCTGACATTTTTCCCCCTCATTACTTACTAATAGGAAAATACTGTGCCCTTTGTTGCAGGTGTTTTAAAACCAGGATGTCCAGATGGTCCTGCTGGAGTGTCTATAGGAAGAGCATAGTGTATGGTTCCAAAAGCCTGGAACAGGGAAGAAGAGGATATTTAAAGATGTGAAGAATAGGTATAATCAAATAATCTTGCTCACAAACTTAAAACTTGACACAACTGTTTAGTATTGTTCTCTAATACTTTCTGTATTAATTTGATCTCACCATTAAGATCATAACTGCTTTTGGAGATCAGATTGTTTTAATGTCCTGGTATTTCATTTGAATACTAACAAAATAATTGAATCGGTTGACTTCCTTGGCATATCACAATGTATTTTCAAGACTTCCAACTCCTTATCCAGGCCTCTAACTCATATACTCTTTAGAAGATAAGTTCTGTAAGTAGTTACCCACATAGTGAGCATTTAAAACATAGATTTGGGGTCACGCCTTTATTTCTCTTCCTGCCTTTTCCTGGAAGAGAGTAGATGACATAAAATCCAGAAAATTCAACAGTCACAATTTAAAGCATTCAAAACATAAGAAGCTAGAGTTCTCAATTTAACCTTATGCAAGGCCGGATTTAGAAATGACTTCAGGTTTCTGCTATGACTCAGAGCTTTTCACATGAACAGAATGATTTACCTTTTAAGATAGGTGAAGAG